AGGGTTTATTGATCTTGTTAATTCTTTCAAAGAACCAGCTTCTAATTTTGTTGATCTGATCTACTGTGTTTCTGGTTTCTAATTCATTGATCTCTGCTCTAATCTTAATTGTTTTTCTTCTAATGTGTGGCTTAGGCATTGTTTGTTGCTTTTTCTCTAGGTCTTTAAGATGTAAAGTTAGTTGGTGAATTCTGGATTTTTCTATTTTTTTGGGTGAGGCTTGGATGGCTATGTATTTCCCCGTAGGATCGCCTTTGCAGTATCCCATGGGTTTTGGATGGATGTGTTTTCATTGTCATTGGTTTTCATGAGTTGTTTAAGTTCTTCTTTGATTTCCCGGTTGATCCATACATTCTTAAGCAGAGTGTCTTTAGCTTCCAAGTATTTGAATCTCTGTCAATTTTTTTCTTATGGTTGACTTCCAGTTTTAAAGCATTATGGTCTGAGAATATGCAGGGAATAATCTCTATCTTTTGGTATAGATTCAGACCTGATTTGTGACCCAGTATGTGGTCTATTCTGGAGAAAGTTTCATGTGCACTCGAGAAGAATGAGTATTCTGTTGTTTTAGGGTGGAATATTCTGTATATATCTATGAGGTCCATCTGGTCCAGTGTGTCATTCAAAGCCCTTGTTTCTTCATTGATTTTCTGCTTAGATGGTCTGTCCTTTGCTGAGAGTGGAGTATTGAGGTCTCCTACAATTAACGTATTATTATCAATATGACTCTTTATTTTGGTTAACAGATGGCTTATGTAGATGGCTGCTCCCATGTTGGGGGCATAGATATTTACAACTGTTCGATCTTCTTTTGGATAGACCCTTTAAGAATGGTATTAAGGAGGGCACGTACTGCATGGATCCCTGGGTGTTATCTGAAAACCATGAATTGTGGATCACTACATCAAAAGCAAATGATATATTGTATGGTGACTAACATAACATAATAAAATAAAATAGAATAAAAAGAATGGCATAGTGTTCTTCTGTGTCTCTAACTACAGTCTTTTCCCCCCCATTTTTTTGTTTTTAAAGATTTTATTTATTTGACAGAGAAACACTTTGAGAGAGGGAACACAAGCAGGAGAGGGAGAAGCAGGCTTCCCGTGGAGCTGAGAGCCCAATGCAGGGCTCAATCCCAGGACCCTGGGATCATGACCCGAGCAGAAGGCAGACGCTTAATGACTGAGCTACCCAGGCACCCTCTAACTACAGTCTTTAGCTTAAAATCTTTTGTCTGATATAAGAATTGCTACCCAGCTTTCTTCTGAGGTCCATTGACATGGAAGATGGATCTCCATCCCTTCACTTTCAGTCTGGATATATCTTTATTTATTTTATTTTATTTAAAATTTTATTTATTTATTTGACAGAGAGAGAGAGAGATAGGGTGGGAGGGAACACAAGCAGGGGAGTGGGAGAGGGAGAAGTAGGCTTCCTGCAGAGCAGGGAGCTCGATGCAGGGCTCGATCCCAGGACCCTGGGATCATGACCTGAGCCAAAGGCAGATGCTTAACAACTGAGCTACCCAGGTGCCCCTGGATGTATCTTTAGGTTCAAAATGAGTCTGTTGTAGACAGCATATGGATGAGTCCTGTCTTTTTATCCAATCTACAACCTTGTGCCATTTTATGGGAGCATTTAGGCTGTTCACGTTGAGAGTGATTATTGAAAGATATGAATTTATTATCATCATGTTGCCTGTGAAGTCCTTGTTTCTATAGATTGTCTCTGTAAATTTGTGTTCTATATCCCTCTTGGGGTCTTTCTCCTTTTATAGAACCCCCTTAATATTTCTTGCAGGGCTGGCTTAGTGGTCACATAGTCCTTCAGTTTCTGCCAGTCTTGGAAGCTCTGCATCTCTCCATCCATTCTAAATGACAGCCTTGCTGGATAAAGTATTCTTGGCTGCATGTTTTTCTCATTTAGTACCCTGAATATGTCTTGCTGGCCCTTTCTGTCTTGCCAGGTCTCTGTGGATAGATCAAACATTATTCTGATATTCCTCCCTCTGTACTTAAGAAATATCTTCTCCCTAACTGCCCATAAGATGGTTTCCTTGGTTCTAAGATTTGTGAGTTTTACAATTACATGCTGGTGCATTGGTCTGTTCTCCTTGATCTTGGGAGGGGTCCTCTCTGCCTCTAGAACACGAATGTTTGTTTCATTCCCCAGGTTAGAGAAGTTCTCAGCTATGATTTGCTCAAATATATCTCCTAGTCTTCTCTCTCTCTCCACCCCCTCAGGGATTCCAATAATTCTGGCATTGAAATGTTTCATGGCATCATTTATTTCTGATTCTGTTTTCATGGATTTTGAGTTGTTTCTCCCTGGCCTCCTCTTTATCCTTCTTTTCTATCAGTTGGTCTTCTAGATCACTAATTTGTTCTTCTGCCTTGTTTACCCTAGCTGTTAGATTATCTAGATTAGATTGGATCTCACTGATAGTGTTTTTAAATTCTGCCAGTTCAGCTTTCATTTTTGCCCTTAGAGACTCTAGGTTGCCATTGATTGATTTCTCCATTCTAGCTATCATCTTCATAACTGTTACCCTGAAGTCCATTTCAGACATCTTGGTTATATCTGTATCCATTTGTAAATCTGTGGCGGAAGTCACATTCTCTGAGTCTTTCCTATTTTGGGGGTTCCTCCTCTTAGTCATTCTGTTGAGGGGTGGTTGAGGGAATGTATAGAGTCCAAATTATTGAGCACAATCCAAGCAAGATGCATCTGTCTTATAGGGACCTTAGGGTTGTTGGCCTCTTGTTGTCCCAGCCTGTCTTCTGGGGGAGGGATGTGTCCTGCTGTTACTCAGTCAACCCTGTTTGGGCAGAGTTGCCCTGCCCCCTGTGTGTGGGAAGGGATGGGTTCAGTGGAAACTGGTTTTTGGTGGCTTCTGTTCTCTGGCGGCTTTTGCATCTCTTCTGAGAGTCAGCAGAAGAGATCATTTCCAAACCTCTGCCTCAGAGCAGAGAGATCGCAGTCTGTTCTTCAGTGAGTTCTCCAGGCCACACTATCTCCATTTCTGTCTGTGCTGGTATAAACTGCAGTGTCCTGGGTTGTGTGCCCCTCAGCAGGGCTCCTAGTCCTCACCTCTAGGTCGGGGCTTTGGGGGACACGTCTCTGCCCTTTGTGCTTCTAAAACTGCCAGCCGCCCCCCCTTTGCACACATGGCCCCGCTGCTCCAGGTTTCAGTCTGGGGGGCTGCCCTAAAGTCCTTTCCTTGCTGCTACCAATCTAAGAGTCTGTGCCCTGTCCCCATCGGGAGGCTTTAGCTCACTGATGGTGCAGGATACCCAAGGCTCCCTCCCCCTTCCATTTATCTTCTGATAATTGCCTGTGGAATCACAGCTCCCCACTTCATACCTCGAAACCAACCACCTGCAATATTCTCTTAGTAGAGATCCAGATATATCTTCTTACATCTCAGGCTGATTTCGTGGGTGTTCAGTTGGTCTGGTAGATATCCAGTTCAATTCAGGGGACCAATTGGTCCTCTTCTGCCATCTTTTCCTTCTCCATTTTCCATAATCTATGTATGTATTTTTAAAAATAGCTACTAATAATTGTTCACAACCATTATCCTTCCTTTTAGGAGAATATTGCACTTATCTGATGGGCTTGAACTTGGTTGGGCTTATTAGAGGCAATGTGTGAAGATTGCAAAAGGAGAAACCTAGAGGTGTTAAAATTCTTTACCAGGGAAAAGTGGGGTTCAAATCAGGAAAAAAAATGTGTTAGGAAAAGAGGAGGAGATGAGAAGGAAAATAGAGGGCCTGAGATTCCTTTGGAGAGATTTTGGGCAGATAAAAGTGGTAGAAATGAGACCACAAATCACAGCCATGGCGGTTTGAGTGGGACATACACAGAGGGTGTGCAAGTTATTTGTGTGTACGAAAAGTAATAAATCCCTGACACCGTCTGAAAGATTTCTGAAAAGACTTATATTTGTTTTCAGCTGTTTGGAAATAATCATCTAACTAAGTTTGCCTCTGATAATGAGATCATATTGATCTTCCAGTGGCATTGGGACAGGAGTGTGGGGATCCTAAAGCAATGAAAAGAGGATCCTTTAGCACTGGGATGGGTTAAGAATCTGGACCCTTTTAACCTGTGTAATATGTGCTTTTACTGTTTGGCTGTTTCATTTTTATTTATTATTATTATATTATTATTATTATTAATTTTTAGTGTTCAATGATTCATTTCTGTTTATGGTCAGGGATATAGACTGTGAGAGCAGAGAAGGGGAAGCCAGAGATGAAGGCAGCCAGGGGTCCAGATGTGTGAGGCCTCTTAGAGAGCATCACTGATTTTGGGATTTATTTGAAAAAACAATGATCAAATAGTCATTCTTTAGAATCTCCCCCTTCTCTGCTGAATTGATGTGCATGTGTTTTAATTTTTAAAAATTTTACAAAAAGATTTTATTTACTTATTTATTTAGAGAGCATGTTGGAGTAGGTGGAGGGGCAGAGGGAGAGAGAGCATCTCACGCAGACTCCATGTGAAGTGTGGATCCTAACAGGGGGCTGGATCTAACCACCTTGAGATTATGACCTGAGCCAAAATCAACAACCAAATGTTTAACTGACTGTTCCACGCAGGGACCACTGTAGTGCATGTGTTTTAAAGTATGCCTTGTGTACCTATATTTTGATCTCCCTCATTGTTTTCAAGAAAACCTAGTTTTCAAGATGGATATGTGGCTAGGGATTGAGAAAGCATAATTTAAAAGTGAAATCAGGGCATAGATTCTTCTTTTCAGGTTGTTATACAGCCTCTCAGTGGTGTGAAGTTTTATGGCTTGGCTTTCATATGAAGGCTGTAGCATGATGGCTGTGTGTGCATGTGAAAAAGAAATAAACACATCAGTTGAATATTTCCAAAAGATATTTCCCTGTGACTCTTGCATCACTGTATTTCAGAAGACCAGATATAGACACCAATGTGTTTAGACTTCTCAAAGCCTTAACATGAAACTTGTGGTTTTCTTATAGATTGGCGGAAGGAGAAGTTCCAGCCCTGTGAGTTACTTTGAGTTCTTTCTGGATGCTTCTACTGCTGCTTCTCCTCAGCTTGCTGTGATGATACAGATGCTGGCACCATCAATTGTGGTGGATTCAGATGGGGCAGTGAAAGCCACATAGCTTGGATTGGTGGGTATGGATGATATTGGATGCTAAAGAGATACCCTTCAATGTTGAGTCCAGTCTGTTCCTAAGGGTCCTGTGACATGTCTAACCCCCAGATCAGTCTTTTGGTTACTTCTCTTTGTTGGAGAGGTGTGTACTTGAGTCACAAGACTCTCATCTCAGGATGTTTAGCCCTGCCCACATGCATCTAGGTGTCTGGAGGGTGGTTGATGTGAGCCTTGTTATATGGCAGGGGGAGACCTTGAATGATTGGCAATTCTCTCTGCAGTGTCTGTCACTCTGGATCTGAGTTCTGCACATCCCAGCCTTGCTGTCTCTGATGAAAAGACTACTGTGACCTTGAAGTATACAACTGAGGACCCAAGATTACTCTTTAGCATCTTAGGTCGGGAGAGCATCACATCAGGGCGCTGTTACTGGGTGGTGGAGATCAGGAATGGAGACAGAAGTGAGTGGTCTCTAGGGATCTGTAGGGTAGATGTGGAGAGGAAATCCTTGTACATAGAGAGCCCAGAAAGGGGGTTCTGGGCTGTGGGACGATATTTGGAAAATTATTATGCCTGTTCCATCTTTCGGACTCTACTATCCTGTAGGCAAGTTCAACAGGTTGGGGGTTTTCCTGGACCTCAAGGAAGGGGATGTCTCCTTCTACAACATGACTGATGGCTCCCACATGTTCTCTTTCCCTCTAGCTTCCTCCTCTGGGGCTCTGCTTCCATATTTCATGTTGAGGTCAGGAGATGTGTCCTTGACCATCTGCTCTGTGGTGGGTGGCCCTGCAGAGACCCCAGTGCCCCTTAACAATCTTCCTTCTTCTTTGGAGGAGCCTGTGAGCCTCTCAGGGGTGGGGTTCAACTCAGTCTCTGGTGTTGATGGTGCTCTCCCTGGGGCTGAATATCCATTACTCCCCTGCAGCCCTGAGGCTATGTCCCCATAGAGCCCCAACACTGTCCCAGACTCCTCATGGTGGCTCTTCCTGGAGCTGCAGACTCCCTGGAGCAAAAGCCTCTGGGCTTAGCTCTGGATGACCTGGTGTCTTGCCTTCCTGCTCTGGATGCAGACTTCCTGGGGTGTGGTTATGAGAATAGTCAGTTCACACCTTATGCTCAGGTGAGAGAAGTTAAAAGTTGACTGTTGTCTGTGCTGGTTTGGAGTAGGCGGAATTTTACTATTGGAAGTCATGTTTCTTTTGATAATGAAAATTATTTCATGGAGTCTTTATATTGTTTGGATATGAAAGGAGATGAGGGCTGAATGACTCTGCAGGATTACATGGTGTTGTTTTATCTAGCTTGAGTTGTGCAGATGAACCCAGAGGCTACAGGTGGGTCATCAGCTCTATTTTGGGAAATCTACACTCTGACCAGAGACAGTGGCCATCCAAAAATTTCTGGAGAAATGAATGGTGGATGGACTTTAAGAAGAGATGAGTCTAATATTCTATTGTATACAGTTCCTATTCTGCAATGGATGAAACACACTTATCATATCGTAGTAAATTTCTGTTATTTGAAAAACTAATGCTGTGTTAAATCAGGGAATTAAGGATGAGGATCTGGGTTCCCCTTTTGTGTCAACACCAGCTGGAAAGAACAGAATTGCTACCAGAACAAAGATGTGAATGGTGAAGAGAGTTTTCAGATGCCCGGTGAATTGAAGAAAGCATTGATCATGAGCACAGTTCCAGGATCTATGTACTGCCTCTCAGTACTTCCAAGTCCAATGAATAAGGTATCAATCACAGAAAATAAAAAGACACCAGACTATTTAGGACTCAGACCTTCAGGCATGAAGGTGTATTCACTCCACAGGTAGAGAATTCTGACCTGCTGTGCTTCTGGGAGAGATGAGAGGACACAGAATTGGAAATGGAAGAAGGAAGTCACAGATATCAGTTCCTGCCTGTGACCAGGCAGAGAAAAAGGACAATAGTAGCTTTGCATATTTTGTCATATAGATGTGTTTATTTGTATTTATGATCTATTTTCTTCCTCTCTCTTCTAACCCTTATGATTTTATTCAAGTTGTTGATGGTTATATTTAAAATAGAGCCTCTATAGGAAACCAGCAAAATTCTAGAGGAGAACACAGGCAGAATAGTCTTTGACCTTGGCCACAGCAACCTGGTACTAGACATGTCTCAGAAGCAAGGGGAACAAAAGCAAAAATGAACTATTGGGACTTCACCCAGATAAAAAGTTTTTGGCACAGCAAAGGAAACAATCAACAAGACTAAAAAGCAGGGTCAGAATGGGAGAAGCTATTTGGAAATGATATACTTGCTAAAGGGTCTTATCCAAAATCTATAAAGAACATATTAAACTCAACAACCACAAACCAAATAATCCAGTTAAGAAATGGGTAGAAGTTAGACACTTTTTTTCAAAAAGACATCCAGATGGCTAACAGAAACATGAAAAGGTGCTCAACATCATTCACATCAGGGAAATACAAATCAAAACCACAATGAGATACCACCTCACATAGTACAGAATGGCACCAGAGACAATAGGTGTTGGTGAGGATGTGCAGGAAGGTGAATCCTCTTGCATTGTTTGGTGGGAATGCAAACTGGTGCAGCCACTCTGGAGAAAAGTATGGTAGTTCCAAAAAAGCTAAAAATGGATCTACCGCATGATCCAGCAATTACACTACTAGGTATTTACCCAAAGCATACAGAAATACACATTTGAAGGAGTACACGCACACCGATGTTTATAGCAGCATTATCAACAGTAGCCAAACTATGGGAAGAGCCCAAATGCCCATGGGATGTTGAATGAATAAAAAAAAAGTGGTATATATATATATACGATGGAGTACTATTCGGCCATCCAAAAGAATGAAAACTTGCCTTTTGCAATGACATGGATGGAGGTAGAGTGTATTATGCTAATTAAAAGAAGGCAATCAGAGAAAGACAAATTCCATATTATTTCACTCATATGTGGAATGTAAGAAACAAAACGGATGAACATTCGGGAGGGGTAAAAGAGAGGGAAACAAATGATGACAGAATTTTTTTTTTTAAGATTTATTTATTTATTCATGAGAGACAGAGAGAAACAGAGGGAGAAGCAGGCTCCCAAGGATCAGGAAGCCCAATGTGGGACTCGATCCCAGGACCCTGGGATCATGATCTGAGCCGAAGGCAGACGCTTAACCATCTGAGCCACCAAGGTGCCCAACAGAGTTTTTTTTGTTAAAGATTTTATCTATTTATTTGAGAGAGAGAGACAGTCAGAGAACATGAGCAGAGTGGGGAGGGGCAGTGACAGAGGGAGAAACAGACTCCCTAATGAGCAGGGAGAAGGAGGATATGGGGCTGGATCCCAGGACCCCGGGATCATGACCTGAGCTGAAGGCTGAAACTTAATTGACTGAGCCATCCAGGCACCACCCCCATGAGAAACTCTTAACTATAGAAAAAAAGCTGAGGGTTGATGGAGGGAGGTGGGTGGGGAATGGGATAGATTGGTGATGGTTATTAAAGAGGGCACTTGGGATGAGTACTGGACGTTATATGTAAACGATAAACCACTGAACTCTACTCCTGAAACCAATGTTGAACTGTATGTCAACTAAATAGAATTTAAGTTGGAGAAGAAATTCTTGAATAAGGTAAATAAATGTATCTTGTAAATGTTTTGTTAACATGGATTTTAATATTCATTTTTTTCTTAATTGTTTTTTTAAAATTTTATTTTATTTTATTATTTTATGTTAGTCACCATACAATACATCATTAGTTTTTGATGTAGTGATCCATGATTCATTGTGTTCGTATAACACCCAGTATTCCATGCAGTACATGCCCTCCTTAAAACCCATCACCGGGCTAACCCATCCCCCTACCCCCCTACCCTCTAAAACCTTCAGTTTGTTTCTCAGAGTCCAACAAGTTTTGCTTCAGGATTTCAGTATTCCTGGAGTCTCCCCCTCCAATTCCCCCCCCGTTCATTTTTCCCCTCCTACTATCTTCTTTTTCTTTTTTCTTTTTTTTTTCTTTTAACATATAATGTATTATTTGTTTCAGAGGTATAGGTCTGTGAGTCATCAGTCTTACACAATTCACAGCACTCACCATAGCACATACCTCCCCAATGTCCATCACCCAGCCCCCTCATCCCCCCCACCCCCCACCACTCCAGCAACCCTCAGTTTGTTTCCTGAGATTAAGAATGTCTTATGGTTTGTCTCCCTCTCTGGTTTCATCTTGTTTCATTTTTTCCTTTCTTCCCCTATGATCCTCTGTCTTGTTTCTCAAATTCCTCATATCAGTGAGATCATATGACACTTGTCTTTCTCCGATTGACTTATTTCGCTTAGCATAATACCCTCTAGTTCCATCCACGTTGTTGCAAATGGCAAGATTTCATTTTTCTGATGGCTGCATAATATTCCATTGTATATATTTACCACATTTTCTTTATCCATTCATCTGTTTCAATGGCTGGGACTGCCTGTGTATTTTGTTTTGGGGAAAGACTGAGAACTTCTTCATGTGTAAGTGTAGCTTTGTAGTTGGGTGAAAATATGGAGGTGTGTTGTTAAATGGAACTTCCAATGTGGGTAAAGTGGTGTATATGGAAGCTGAGTAACTAAAGTTGTGGTCTGTGCCCATTATCAGTTTATTGCCTTTGGGTTCACATCTACCCTGTATTTGCCCAACTTACTGATCCTGAAGCAGGAACCCAGAATAGTTTCTTTCTTGCTATTCAGAAGAATGTTAGCCATTGTCAGTACAGTGCACCAGAAGGACACAGCAAGAAATAGCAGAGGAAAAAGCTCTTCTTGTTCTGGTGCTTTTTTTCTTGATGCTACAATACTACTGCTAGTGGCCTGGAGAAGACCTAGCTTCTCTCACCTTTTAGTGAATGAGTATGGCATCGGAACAGGCTGTATACCAGAGGAGGCTGCTTCCCGGGGAGTCTTGCCAGTTCACTAGTAGGATTTTTCCTGCCAAACAGTCTTGACCTGTGGCATGATGGCAAACTCCTTTCCCTTCCTGGGGACCCTGGTCCCACCTTCTCCAACAAACAGAATCTCTGTCTTACCTCTTCCAAATGTCTTCCTTCTTTGGGTGCTCTACCTCAGCCTTAGATGTAGTGTCTGCTTCCTGTATCTCTCGTTTCTGGTTTCTTTCTTTCTTTCTTTCTTTCTTTCTTTCTTTCTTTCTTTCTTTCTTTCTTTTTTTAAAGATTTTATTTATTTATTGAGAGAGAGAATGAGATAGAGAGAGCATGAGGGGGGGAGGGTCAGAAGGAGAAGCAGACTCCCCGCTGAGCAGGGAGCCCGATGCGGGACTCGATACCGGGACTCCAGGATCGTGACCTGAGCCGAGGGCAGTCGCTTAACCAACTGAGCCACCCAGGCGCCCCTCTGGTTTCTTTAGAGCTTTCTTTTACCTCTTTCATAGTTAAGCACGTTTTCCTAGTTAATAAATCTTTATATCAAATTTTCCCTGTCAAAATGGCTGATGTGATTTCTGCCTCCTGACTGGACACTGACTGATATGAACATCTAAACTGAACTGTATCTTGGAGGAGTATGCAGTATGTGGGGAGGGTAGTGGAGGAATTTTCAAATTTATTAAAATGGTTCACCCCAACAATAAAGTCATAGATATACTATTGATATCTTTTAAAATATATTTTAAATACTCTATATGTTAATATATTATCTGACACGTTTTCTTCCCCTTCCATATACCTTGTGGCTTTGTGACACTGGATTACTTTTGGATGGTCTATGGGCACTTTCCTTTGAAATGGAGAAGGAAAGAAGGTATGGATGTGATATGAAATATCCACACACATAAGAGGAATCTTTTGAAACAAGTGGACAAACTGTCCATGTAATTCCAGAAAGAATAATTAAAATCATCACTCTTGTGAGGAGTGGGGTCAGCATCATGGCAGCGTGAGTCCTTCCATT